GAGGCCTTTGAAGATGACGAGAGCGGGCCCGCCCTGTGGTGGCCGCAAGGGCCAGCGGTAGATTGCCAACCAGAGTCAGCAAGCGCTTCCCAGAGTCCTCCGAACTCCGCAGAAGATGACGCGCCCCAAGAACAAGTGCTCCCCCTTCGAGACCCAAGATGTTCATGTCCTGAGAGATCTTCACCGCCGCGACTCCAGCCCAAGACGACTCCACCAAGATATCCTTCGGGACCTCGTCGAAGCAGGAATCCAAAACGCTCGGGAACCCCAGAGGCTGCAGAGAGCTGGGGAGAGGAGGTGATGAGATGACGGCAGGTCCGAGGGCTCTTGCGCGAGCGCGAGCGCCGCCCTCCACGCGATATCGCCAGCGCCCTGACCGGCGCCCTACCTCGGCGACCTGCTGCGGAGGCAGCCGCCGGCGCACCAGCCCGAGCTCGAACTCCAAGGCGTCGGAGGCAACGACCTGCGAGTGCCAGGGCGCCAGCAAGTCTGCCTGCAGCAACGGCAGTAGGCAACGCACCTGCCAGAACTCCCGCCTCACGCTTTGCCGCGGCACGATGGGCTCCGACCTGGCCATGGCAGCGAAGGCGCAAGCCGCCTGGGCCAGGCAGAGGCCCCCGGACGCAACGGCGCCGCCCAGGTGACGTGGCCGAGGAGGGCCTTCATGAGCGCGCCGCTGCACTTGCCGATCCGCACCAGCCTGTCGATCGCAGGCTGAAGGCGCCATAAGCACCTGGGCCTTGTCGCGAGAAAGCGGCCGTCGGACAGGCTGGGCCCTAGGAGCTCGAAGTCGCGGCAAGCAGACTCCCGGCCGCGCGCCGCAAGGCCCAGCTCAACCACTTGCTCCCGCAGGGCCCACGCCCCGCGGTTGTCGACCGCGAAGTAGTTGTCGACGTACCCCGCGGTTGCCGACGGCTGCCCGCTCTCGACCCGCCGCCCAGGCTGCCCGTCCTCGACGAGGTGGCTGGGCAAGACGCCACCCAGGCTGAGGCCTCGTCGAAGAACACCCTGGCACAGGTGTAGCGCCCGCGAGAAGCCCATCTGCAAGATGCGCAGGCGCGGAGCGATGGGCTCGCCGGCGCTGGCAGGCAAGCCCGCGACGCCGCAGCTCAGCGGCGGCCCCGCGCCGAGGCTGGGCAGCGAGAAGCGGTCGACCATGTCGGACGGCGCCAGCATGTGGTAGCAGGCAGCCTCAAGGTCTCCTGACGCGATGCAGACCCTCTCGTCGGCCTCCAGCGCCCCAAAGGCTGAGGGCGTCGGGGTGCGAGTGGAGGGAGCCGGCGGGAAGTCGCAGTTGATCGCCCTCGTGTCGAAGATGATGCGCAGACGCTCGTCTTTGCAACGCGCGCAGAACAGTCCGAGGCCCCCGCCGCGGCCACGCTTCCAAGTCAGCATGCCTCGACGCCAGGCCTCTCTCAGAAAGGTAGCATAATCGCGAGCGTCACGCCTCAGCAGCGGGTCGACGTATGCGCCCCGCGGGCAAGCCTCGGCGCGGAGGATCCGAGCGGCCTGGGGCGGTCGAAGCATGCGCCCCCTCCAATCCCCGAGCCACGAGGCGTCCTTATCCCCCGGCAAGTCGGTCAAGAACACGGGCTTGCTGGAGAGGGGCGGCCAAGCGATCTCGTCACCGCCAAGGGGGGCGACGGGCCCGCCACCACTGGAGTAGCCGGGCGCGCCCGACAGGAGCGCGCAGAGGGCTCCCTGCTCTGAGTGAAGATCTGCTGGCGGAAGACAGACGCGCCGAGGACTCTGGCGAAGATGTTCCACGGCCAACCGCTGTCCCGCGTTGGGGCTGACGTCGGACCGGGAGCCACAACTGCCGTATAAATCATTCAGCACGGTGACGCCCTCCGAGGCCCACTTGTCAGCATGGGCAGCGCGAAGGCGACGACGGACCACGCGGCGACTAACAGGTCCATGACAAAAATGCTGGAACCTCGGATCCAAGGCGGGCACAGGAAACAGGTCGCGCTGGCGGCCCTCCTCCATGCCCTTGCAGAGCGGGCGTCGCCACGGGCTGAAGGGCGAGCGCGGCGCGGGCAGCCCAACTCCCACGCCGCGAGGCGACCGCGCCTCGGCCCCCTGACATGCGTCTGCAACTGCGGGCACGCACGCAGGTTCCCTCGCGAATGCTGATTCCCAAGGAACAAGTGCCTGTCGAAACTCTCGTCGTCATGATCTTCATTGATGATGTGGCGGTACCTCTCCTCTTGAACCTGCAGCGAGCGGCGCGCGACCTCAGATGAAGTCAGAGACGCCACGTTCAGCTGGTCGTAGCACACGCCCTCTTGCAGGATGCTGCAGCATTCCTCGTGCTCCACCGCTCCAGGGTCGGCATCCGTGAGTCGGAAGGAAGTCTTGAACAGCGTGTGCCTGCCCAGCGGGGTGCCGCCGTGCTCGCAAATGAAGCGACACACCCAGAGACAGGTCCTGGGTCCCGACAGCCTCCAGTCGGGCCAAGGATGTTCCACCAGCCGAAGGACCCCCTCTCTGAATTCGACGCGACGCTGCCCAAGCATGTCATACACGACAGCCAACACCCTGGGATCAGGAGAAGCAGGAAGGGCAGCAGCGGCTCCAGGGGCCGCCGCGAGCCCCATCGGTGGGGCGGCAGTGGCGGGCGCCGCCCCAGGCAGCGCGGCCGCGCCAGGGTCCGCGGGCGCACCCGCCCCACCGCCAGTCGGTGGCGGGACCGCGGGCGCCGGCGGCGCGACGGCCAGAGCGCCAGGGGCAGCAAGCGCGGGGGCGGCAGGAGCTGCGGCGCCTCCGGGCGGCAAGCCAGCCGCGGGGCCAGCAGCACCAGCCACGGGGCCTCTGAGCGTAGCCACCAGAGCGCCCACGCCGCCCGCCAAGCCTCCAGAAAGGCCGCCACCAGCTCCTCCACCTCCAAGCGGCGGCAGTTCCAGGAGCAGCTCCTGGTTCAGTGAGCGCGTGCACCCCAGCAGGCAAACCTGGAAGCCACTCCGCGCGCGATGGCGGCCCAGGCCTCGGCTGCAGTCGGCAAGCGACGAAATCGATGCACATGCCCTCCGCCGAGCCCGCCTGGCGTCGCCCCCTGGCCCGCGATCCTGATGACCTCCGCCACGTCGGGCCCAGGAGCGTTAGCCTCGGCGTAGTCGCCCCCGTCTGGAGTCATGATATGCGACAAAGCACCCCTCTCGCCAAGCGTCAAGCGCTCATGCCACAGAAGCGGACCCGCAACGCGGTACCGCACCAGGTAGAAAGAGCCAGCCATCACCGCGACTGCAGTTGCCGAAGCTTGCCAGCACGCGACTGCGCAGCGGCGAGCTCTGCCAAGTCGACCTCCACGATAGTGGGGGCTCCCGCTGCGGCCTGCCCAAGCTCGAGCCCGAGCGGGCTGGCTGAACCCTGCGCCGAGTCGCCGCCGCTGCAGGAGCCCAGGAATCGCCTCAGCACCAGCAGCAACCGCGCGGCAACCCCCAGCAGCAGCTTCCCAGCCTCCACAAGGATGAGGCCGAGCAGACTGATGACCAGCTGGATCACCCACGAAGGCCCCGCGTCGCCTGCCGCGGGGCAGGCCGGGCAAGGGGTGCACGGCGAGGGGCAGCTCTGCATCTCGCGAGCCTCCACGGCGGCCGATATGCACTCCGAGAGGGGCACGAGCCGAGCCCCCGCCTCCCAGGCCTCCCCCGCGCTGTGGCCAAGGCCAGCGCTGGCAGAAGGCGGTGCCAGCGGCACCGGCAAGGCCCACGGCGCAGAGAGCCACCACCAACGCGCCAGGCCAACCGCGCCGAGGTGAGCGATGAGCGAAAGCCCGACCCCGCGGGCTTGCATGGGGCGAGGGCGGCTGCGCCCTCAAAGACTCGAGCAAGTACGTCGACGGGCAACGTCGATGCGGCGATCATCCAAGTGCTTTGCACATCACTTCAGCTGGTTAAAAGCGGCCATACATATATATATATATATACACTGCAAAATAAACCGTGCGATCTAGGTGATGCAACCTGTGTGATGCAGTCTCCATGCGCATCCAGACGCCCGAGCCAGCGCACGAGGCGGGCACGACGCGGTCACGAGCGAACACCTGCCGAACGCCCCGAAACGCCAACCATCGCGCGGAGCGGGCACGGGCGGGCACCAGACGAAAGTCCCCCCCGAACGCGCCAACGATTTACGACTTTCCACCGGCATGGGGACCCCAAACACCACGCTGCATGACTGTGGTCGGCACGGCGCGGCACGGCACGGTAACGTTTTCGCCCTCCCGAAACCAAACACGGCACGGCACGCGGGCACGGCACAGCAATTTTCCACGACCCCCGACACCAAGCACAGCGCGTAACGGCGAGAGGGCACGGCACAGCAACTGTCTCGCATCCTCAAAACCGAACACGACACGCTACGCCATGAAGGCAGGGCGCGGCAGCTGTTTCGCATTCTCGAACTCAAGCACCGCGCGGCACGCGGGCAGCGTGAGGCAATTTTTCGCATTTCGACCGCAGAACACAATTCTTGCGCCCGTCTGCAGGACCCCTTAGTGCAAGCACTGTTGGGGGAGAGTGCCAGCGAATAAGCGAACAAATAGCAGCGCCGAACTACTGCTTCTAAATAGATGCTCGAGGGTTGTCAAGCGGGTGAAGATGAGGAACAGGAGGAGGAGGGGGAGGAGGAGGAGGAGGAGGAGGAGGAAGAAGAGGAGGAGGAGGAGGAGGGGGAGGAGGAGGAAGAGGAGGACGAAGAGGAGGAGGGGAATATCAGATGGATGAGAGCAGGAACAAGAGGCAAATGAGGCAGACGACGAGAGAGAGAGAGAGAGCGGAAACGGAAGCGGAATGGGAGGGGAGGGGCAAGAGGGAAGGAGGGATAGGGGGATGAATAGCAGAGAAAGAGGGAGGCAGGGAAAGGATGGTGAGACAACGAGGACAAAATAATGGAAGGGGAAGGGGGCGGGAGTGTAGGCGAAGGAGGGGTAGGGGAGAGGGGGGGGGCGGAAGAGAAGGACGGAGGACTGAGGAGCAAGAGGAATACGAGACAAGGACGGGAATCCTGGTCTCGTGCCTGTCTTTTTGACACCCCCGATCTCCACGCGCCAGGCCAGCTCGACCGCCGCGGTGGCAGGATCGCTCCAGTCCACGTCAAAGAAGCTCTTCCCCCCATCGGCGGCCGCCGCCTGGAGCAAACGTCCACGCCCACGCATCTTCCTCCCCGTCTCCTCCCCATCCTCCTCTGAAGAGGGGGGAGGACGACGACGGGCAAGGGGAACTGGGGGCGAGAAAAGGGGGGGGAGGAGGGAGACAAGCCGTAGCATGAGACGGCTTGATCGAAAATGGGCGGATGGAGCAAGAGGAAAAGGAGGAGGTGCAGCGAGGAAGTTCAGGATGAGCTGGTCAAGGGGCCGAAAGGTGAGAGTGAGAAGAGGATATGATCGGAGGTGAAAGACTACGAGCATTCGGGAACACAACATGGAGGGAGAGTACGGTTGTTCTGGCGCCGACGACCTGGAGACCACAACTACAAACGTAACGGCGGGCCTCAGTTGTGAAGTCAGCTCGCCTGTTATGCAGACCTCTGCAAACACGCTTTAACATTGCATGCCTGATTCCTTTTTTGAGGTTTGCGCTCTCGAGCTCAGCCTCGAACGGGTTGCAAATGCATGGGCGAAGACGGGGAGGAGGATGTGGAGAAGGATGCTGGGGGAGGGATGCTAAGGAGGGAAGGGATGAAGAGTGGGAACACGAGGAGGGGGAACCACATAGTTTACATTGTATAGCTTCCACCTCCACAATTGACAACACAATCATGCACTGTCTGGGGTCCACACTGGCTAACATTTGCTTATGTGAAAGCTTTGTTTAAAACGATCCAGATGTTAATGAACCGCAGCAGCCGTACATTTTCTCCACAAGAACGGATCTACGAATTAAAAAACGCAGATATACCACATCTGAATGTTGCTTTGAAACTGTTGTTTGTTTCCTCGCCAGGCCCACTCTTCACTTACAAAAAACCCCATCGACCCTCCACCGTGCGGCCCGGACGAGCAATGCCCGCAGCGGCGGCCATTCTACCTGGCACCCACCCCACTTGCTCGAGCTGGCAGCACGACTGGGGACTTGCGAAAGAAACTCAAGACACGGGCAGCCAAGAACACAAGATAACCCACCTCCGAATCAAGAGTTGGCCTTAACATCAATAGGGCAGCGTAATTCCAAATTCTCGAGGGCAGGGGCTGGGCCTCCGAGGCGCTCGCGAGCAGTGGCGGCCGAAGAGTTGTCGCCTCGGTGAAACCGTAAGCAGTCGATCCGAGTTTGTGAATCGACAACTCCATGGTCTAATTTTGGTCGCACTTGTCGTCCCCCTTCAACTTCCCAGCCGTCTCCGCCGTGTAGGTCGGACTTGCGGAACTCAGACAAAAAATTCTCAGAATCGTCGCTGCCGCCATTGAAGGACCCATATGCGGCACCGCACAGCTCACGGAAAATAACTGGCTCGTAGTGCCAAGACGGTCCCGCAACCGAATCCACCTCAACCGATCGAGTATTATCCTGCGGCGGGTCGGCAACAAACTCCTTGACTATTTGCGTGCGTCGGAACGCGCTGATCGAACTGAGGCCACATGCCGGGGTCATTCAAAGTCTGGCGGCGAACTGCCAGCGACCCCAGCATAGGCGCAGGCACTACGGCAACCGCCCGCTGGGGCACAGGCGCAGGCACTACAACCACCGCCTGAGTGGAACGGCGACGCTTCCACCCCCAGAGCAGCGCCCAGCCCTGTGAACCTGGCGATCCTGCAAACGCAGCTTCAAACCGGAAACCCGCAGCTTTGAAGAAACGCCACACGAACGATCGCCATGAACCTGCAGAAACTCGGCGGACAAAACCGCACAATCATAACCATGCCGTGCCACGCGAACCAGTGGAACTCGGCCGCCCCGCACCAAGTACCAACCAAACACTTGACTCTTGACCTAGCACCCAGCAGCTGCAAACAAAGGAGCAAGCGCAAGGCCACGCGAAGAACGAGCGAAATCCCAGGCCTCGGGGCCGTGGTGGTCAACCTCGACCATGACGTGTTCCGCGACCTTTTGGCGGCGTGCATCACGGAACTGCCAGTGCTCGATGGTGCGACGTCCAACTGGCTAACGAACTCCGTCACCAGCGCCGCACTGTGCACACCCACCCCGCCCAGCGCGCGCGCAGGGAACGCAGCGTATCCGCCCAGGCCGATGATGATCTCGTAGACGCTTAAGAGCATGCCCACGTAAATAACATTTACGGTGTTGGGCCAGGCGCGCCTCGCTAATACGCGGGAGCAGCAGGTAGACGCTATGGAGGTTCACTGCTACCACCAAGGCGCTGAAAACCACGAGGGTGTACAGCATCATCTTCAAGGGAATGGGGTGATTAGGATGATGATGTCAATGATGGTGATGCTGCTGATGACGATGATGGTGATGATGGGGATTATGATGACGATGAGTATGATGGCGATGTAAGAAGATGATGCTGATGCTGATGGTGGTGATGATGATTATCATGGTGATGGCGAAGAAGAGGAGGGGGGAGGACGGAAGGGAATGATAGGAGGAGACGGAAGAGGAGGCGGAGGAGGAGGAGGAGACGGCGTAACCGCTTAGGTCTGTCTGTGCAACTCGGGCTCCCGCAGGGTGGCGCTAGGGTCCTTTTTCAGGATGCGTTTTATTTATCATTGTCGCCACCAGCGGAGCCCGTATCAGCAACAGAGCAGGCCAAAGAGTGGCTGAGTGCGCAGCACTCGGGGGACCTCACCGTGTGCTGAGAAAAAAAGGAATGAAGGATGGTGCCGCCCGATCAGAAGCGGGAGAGGTCACCACAAGGCTGAACAGGCAAGAATACTGCACCAAATCCGCCGACCCCTTGTGGGTCTCTAGGCGTGTGCGCTTACCCCCCCCATAACCCCCCTCCCCCTGGGACCCCAAACCGGCAATTCGACCCCCTCCCCTCCCCTCGCCCCGGACGAACGCACCATGGGCGCAGAAGGGGCCCCACAACGGGCCAAGAAGGCCCCAAGAGGCCCCCGAAACGGTCCGGCATCCAGACAGCCCAAGATGCCTCCAAGACGCTCCCAAACGCCCCCAAGAGGCCCCAAAAGGCGCACAAGAGGCGCCCCAAGAGGGCTCCGAGAGGCCAAAATAATTGATTTCCCTTAGGAAAACGTCAGTTTTTAGCATATACAGCTTTTCTGCGTTCACGGCGTTGACAACTGTCCAAGAAGACCCAAAGACTGCCTCAAAACAGCCAAAGAGGCCCCCAAGAGGCCCTTAAAACGGCCCAAAAGGGCGCCAAGACGGCCCAAGAGGCGCCGAAGACGGCCCAAGAGGGCCCCAAAACGGGCCCAAGAGGGGGACCACGAACCGAGAAGCCGAGCCCTCCGCCCCGAAAAGGTCCCAGGAGGCCCCAAGAGGCCCCCAAGAGGCCCCCCAAGAGGCTTCCAAGAGGCCCCCCAGAAGCCCAAAAGAGGCCCCAAGATGCCCAAAACGGCCCCCAGGAGGCTTCGAAACTGCCTCCGCGAGGCCCGCGAGAAGCCTCCCCCGAGATGCCAGCGAACACCGAACAAGCCTCAGACCGACAACACAGGCACGGTGGCGATCGGAATCGTGAAAGCTCTTCACACCAAGGCTCCGAACAGCGACAGGTGATGTAAACAGCTCTCGATTCCGAAGCTCCCACCAGCGAAGGATGACGTAAACAACTCTCGTCATCAAGGCTCCCAAGGGCGAGCGGCAACGTAACAATCTCTGAACACCAAGGCTCCCAAGAGCGAGCGGTGACGTAACAAACTTTCTACACCATGGCTCGCAAGAGGGCAAGATGCCATCAACCATCTCGGGCAAATTCCTGAAGCGCTCTGTCCGTTCGGGTGCCGGCCCAGGTCTAACACGCTTGTGGCCTGTTGGGCCGGCGAACATGCTCGGATGCGTGCAGCCGAACATCCGCAGTCAGCGCGGCACTTGCCAGCACACTGGTATTTGCACGTGCGTTGACGGTTACATAGACAGGGCTGATTGTGGGGCGTGTTCTGGGAGCTTCCAGTTCGATTTGGAGCGATACTCCAATGATGCGTTAGTCTGCTCCTTTTCCGATGCCAACAAAGGAAATACTGGTGCATCTGCGGCATCTGGGCAAAAATGCAGCAGTTGCCTCTCTGGCAATTTCTCTGCCCGGGGTAGCGAACAATGCCGTGCGTGCGAAGCCGGCCGCTTCAGCAACGGCGGCGGTTATCGCTCCACTTGCGGCGCAGGAGAATTCTCCACGGCTGGCAGCAGCGAGTATAACCTTTACGATGCTGGATCTGCTCCTGCAGCTAGCCAAGCGTCTCGCGAAACCTGCGACGCAGGGAGCTACGCTGTGCCAGGTGACCTGCTATGCACATTTTGCGACGCAGGAACATTTTCCGCTGCTGGCAGCAGTGCATCTCAGCCCTGCCCAGTTGATCACGAGCCTCTGCGATATTCTAGTGGTTGCCAAGAGTGCGGCACCGGAGGATCTGCCCCAGGTGGCAGCTTCACTTGCGAGCCGCGTGGATCCAACGAAAAGTCAGACGGCGAGGGAAACTGCACATGCATTCAGAATCTGCTTAACGGCAAGGATCACACATGTGAGCCGTGTCCAAAAGGTGCGATTTGCTCCTCTGCCGTTGTACACAGCGTACTAACAAAGTACTAGATGGTTGTAACTGGACGCCCGTCTGATCCCCCCCCCCTGGCATGCCTCTTCGGCTCGCTGAACTGCACAGGCGGAAACAATTGCTCAATGGGCTACGTTGGCGACGGGTGGAGCGTCTGTGAGGATGACTGGAGCCCAGAAGGAACGAAGCGTATTCAATGCGGCGCTGGGGCCCCGACGTCCCTCATCATCGTCTCCCCTTCGTTTTCCCAGTCTTTTTTCCCCCTTCCTCCTTCCTTCCTCCTCCTCCTCGTCTTATGTTCCCCTTCCTCCTCCCTCCTCCTCCTCCCAACCTTCCTTCCCCTTCCTCCTTCCTCCTCGTCCCCCCTTCCTTCTGGAGCGCTTGCGGTACTTTTTTTCCCCTACCTCCCGCGTCTTCCTCCTCCTTCTTCCTTCCTCCTCCTCCTCGTCCTCCTCCTTCTCCTCTTCCTCTTCCTTTCACGGAATTTGGCTCTTGCACCGTCATTGCCCACCTGCCACGGGCTTCGGTCCATGCACTGTTATGCCCATGCGACCTCCCAAATGCGAACGGGCATCATTTGCACGCCGTGTACTTCTGGGTTCCGTTGTTTTCCGCGCGCGCGACATGCGCGCCCGACGCGGACCACGCCACCATCGGCATTTCTCCTTGGAACCATTTGCACGCGTTGCACTTAAGGGTCATTGTGTTCGTGGCGCGCGCGACGTTTGCGCCCGACGCGGAGAACGCCGACTTCGGCATTTTGTTCTTGCACGGGCAGCTGTACTGATACGCCACCTTTTGATTAAGAAACATTGGCAGATGGGATATCGTCTGGGAGCCTACCCCGCTGAGGCAATGAAATGGACACTATTCTTGCCTTGAGCCAGCATGGCCACGGAACGAGGGAGGAGGAGGAGGAGGAAGAGGAGGAGGAGGAGGAAGAGGTGGAGCAAGATGAGGAGGAGGAGGAGGAGCAAAGCAAAGCAAAGAACTATCGGACCCAAAGTCTCCCCGACTTACGAGGCTAAAAACAAGTTGGATATAAGTGGCAACAATGGCCAACTTCCCACATGAAAGGCCCTGCTGGCGGGGACCACGCTCTAGCCTAGAGACGACGCCAGTGGAGGAAAATCCAATGGGCGACTCATGGCATCACCCCCTCCCGCAACAGAGTCCAGCAAGACACTAGGCAAGCCCCCGCGGGCCCGAACTCCTTCCACTCCGACTCGCAACCTTCGCGCGAGCTTGAGCAGCAAAGACAGTCTGAGAATCGTGTGCATTCTCCCGTAAAGCAAAGGTATTCGACGTGGCCGAATGCGCCACTAAACAGACACCCGAGGCACCAAGCACCCGCCCAAAAGGATCTAGGACAGGAGCGGGGAATGCACCACGGCGCTGTAGCTCTAGAAACCGCTCACTACCATGAAACGCGGGCGGAGGAGGAGGAGGAGCGTAACGGCGAGCAGGAGGAGATCGACGGGCCTCGAAGCGACCGAGGGCCGAGGTCGAAGACCCAGGAAGGGTCCCACGAGAACGCATGCTATCACGAATTACTACTGGCTCAGATCTAGATAAGGATGATGCGTACACCGTCGACGAAGTCGGCCCCGCAGGAGGCCGCGAGGTAGCAGACGCATAGGCAGCCGTAGTCACAACATGTGGCACCATCGATGCAGGCTCAACATCGTTCACCCTGCCACACACAGAGATAGGATCAGCGGCGGCCTCGGGTGTCGAACGGCGTAGGCAAAGTAGGTACTGTCAGTAGGATGTCGGACTGAACATGGTGAGAATCCCCAGGCACACGTGCACCAATAGATACAGCAGTCCCCTCACGCTTACCACTCTCATACTCATCAGCAGTCACTGTAAGATCACCCCCCCCATTAGGACGAGCTGCCGTTTGAAGATATCGACTTTTAGCCTCCACAGACGTAGTCACAAAAGAGGCAGCCATCGAGGAAGCAGACTCAACATCATCCATACCCTGCACAGAGGTAGTGTCAGCTACTTCTTGCCCTCGAGCTAGTCGAACAACTTCTGGGCATCTCTCTCCAGGGCCCCTTTTCGGGGCCGCTCCAAACTTGCGCCCCCCCCCCGATAGACAGGAGGAGGAGGAGGAGGAGGAGGTGGAGGAGGAGGATGAGGATGAGAAGAAGGAGGTGGAGGAGCAGGAGGAGGAGGCGGAGGTGGAGGAGGAGGAGGACGGGGGGGAGGAAGAGAAGGCGGAGGAGGAGGACCCAGAGGAGGAGGCGGCTGAGAAGAAGGATAAGGAGGAGGTGGAGGAGGACACGTGTCCTTACCGAAACCCCGCCTTTGCGGGTTCTGGCGAAGATCGAAAGAAAACTTAAAGAAGCTGACCGCAAGCGTCGATTCCTTTCACTGCACACATCGGGACCGCCGCAGGCGCTGACTTATTCGACCAAGTAACGCGGATGGGTCGTGGGTGGGGTGGGTCACGGGCGGGTCGAGTGTGGCCAGGAGTATTCCCAAAGATCCCAACTGAATCCCTAAGAAATCCCTTTTCAGGCAGCACATAGGAATCCCCCCCGGAATCTTCAATCATCCTTGCAGAACCCTCCAGGAATCCCTCAGGCATCCTTCAGAATTTCTTCGGAAATCACCCGGGTATCCCTGACAATTTTTCAGAACATCCCACACTAATCAGTATGGCATTGTTTGGGGATCCTTCAGGAGTCCCTCTGGAATCCCTCAAGAATCTTCAGGAATCCTCTGGAATGCTAGACTTCGGCCTACCCATGGCCTACCTGCGCGATGTCTCTCTGCAGCAACCACTTCAGCCTCCTCAGGGGCACCGACGGATTGCTGCAGTGGAAAAGCGTAGGCGCGCCGCAGTGGCTACTCGCTGCTGCTCAGAAGCATAGCGTGCTGCGACACTACAAGAAGACCTAATACGACACCTACTAGGATCCTACGAAGACGGATAACACTCCTACGATGACCCCGATCAGTAGGCATATTATATGCCCACAAGGACGATGGTCAGTAATGCGACTCCTACGATAGCTCCCACCAAGACTCACTCTGGGACTCTGCTTGAACTCAAGACTCTTTCTGGGATGCCTGTCCGGATTCCTTCCAAGACTCATACGAGGATTGCTATCATATCAGTGTTCGTACTCGGAGTCCTAATGCAGGTCCACCGAAAGCCTGCCAAGGATCCCCCTGGCGTTGCGCAGCGCCTACCCAGAGCCCGCCCAAAGTCTATCCATGGCCTCCCTGAGCCCTACCCAAGGCTTACCCAATACCCACCCAATGCCTTACCGAGGCCTACCCAGAGCCAACTTACCCGAGGCCTAATTACCAGGGCGTACCCAACCCAAGACCTATCCACAGCCTGTCCAAAGCCCACCCACAGCTTATCCAAGGCCTACCAAGGGGTACCCAAGGCCCACCCATGGCTCGCCCACATTCTGACCCACGCCTACCCACGGCTGGTGTAAGGGCCCCTTGGCCCTCGACACACGTATAAACAATCTGGCGCAACCCGAAAATTTGACCAGTCCCAAGAATCTCCGCACCCCCCCGAAGGGGCGAAGGCTGATTGGGCTGGTAGGGTTGTTGGGGTTGCGCCGGGCCGGACTTCAGTTTCTCAACCATTTAAACCACTAATTAGTACGAACGACAACGACAACAACGACGACAACAACAGCAACAACAACAACGACCATTTAGAACTATTCGTTCTTCGTTGCTCGCGCCCCACTCAATATGCCCACAACCCCTCGATACCTGCTCTCTGCGTTCTTGATCGTACCTCCTTCCGAGGGTATCTCCTCCCTGCCTGCCACGTGTAGTTGGCGCGGCCACTGTTATGGGAAGGGGAAGGAGACAAGAAAAAGGGAGAGAGCGAGGAAGGGAGGCGACGAAAAGGGAGGGGTGCAAGAGAAAGGGGGCAACATTGAAAACGAAAAATACGGCAGGAGTGAGGGAAAGAGGGAATAACAGGCGGGTCGGGCGTGCGGGCTTTAACAGGCGGGCCGGGCGGGCCGGGAATTTTAACGGGCGGGCGGGCTTCCAAACAAGCGGACGGGCGGACACCAGCAGGCAGGTCGGGCGGGCGGACCCTAACGGGCGGGTAGGGCGAGCGGACCCTGAACGATGGGTCGGGTTGGCGGAGCCTGCCGGGCGGGGCGGGCGGGCGGAACCTAACAGGCGGGGCGGGCGGGGCATTACAGCGAACTTCGCGGATTGCAAGGAAACCTCGTGCAAGAGCGCGATTCATGGGCGTCAAGAGAGCGGCGCCTCAATAAAACGCAAGATGTCTCAGGCGAGAACCCGACCCAAAATTAATGGCAAAGAAAATCTCTGGCGATTCCGGAATAGTTCGTGGGGAAGTTTCCGGCGGGAGCAATTGTTGTGGTCGTCTGGGGACCAACGACGCAGTTCGAATGCTTCCAATCATTTAAAAAAGAAAACGTGCAAGCACCGGGTGGGGGGGGCACTTACACAGTGGGCACCAGTGGGGGGATCAACGCAATTGATGCCTCCTCAGAACTGAAACTTCTATAGCAACGACAACGATCCGCAGCGCGGAACCCCACGACAGCCGCGCCCCCAGAGACCGTGTACGACCTCTCGGCCCCTTCACTCTGATTTCTCCTTGCATGCGCGAGCTATTGCATGCTTCCTTTTTCCCTTTTCCCCCTGGCACGGGCTGAACCTTCTTGCCCGATCGAGCGAGCAAGCGAGGGAACAGGGGAAAGAGAGGATGAGGAAGAGGAGGCGGAGGAGGGAGGGAGACGGAGGAGGAGGAGGAGGAGGGAGAGAGGCGGGAGGGGGGGGCGGAGGAATGGCGGGGCCGGGAGCGCGCTCCCCACTCCGGGAGCCTGGCCCGCCAGGCACGCCGCCAGCACGAGGAGCCACGCCCGGCAGCGGGGCCCGGCGCCCGCCAGGCTCGCCGCCGCCATCGCGCGCGCGCACGCGGTGCGCGCAGGAGTCCCGTCTCGTCGGGTGTCGCCAAGAGCTGTCCCTGGCCCACGGTGTCCCTATGATTTCCGGGGAGGCCCAGGTGGCTTCCAGAGCACCCCTCACGAGGCCAGAAAGCCCTGGGGGGGGGGGCCGACATGGCGCGAGGCGCTAGGGACATCCTGGGCCAGGACCACTTCCACCAACACCCGATCTCGGGCCGCCCCGTGCGCCCGCCCGCTGGCTGGAGGATTTCAAAAGGAGTTAGGGCAGGTTCATCTGGGCCACTTGCAGCGGTTTACCTGGAACGCCCACGGCGGGGTCGCCGCCACGTCGGCTTGACACGGCCTGAACCCCCTCTGCCCTGATCCCCCTTGGGAGCCACCCTGAGGCTGGGCAGACCTGGGCCTAGGCACCAAGGCGGCTACAGATGGAGGACTCCTAGGGCAGGCCCAGGAGGAAATACGTGATGGTCTCGGCCCTCGAGCATCGAGGGGGCTCTGTGTGTGGGTGCTGGGGAAACCTTCGGGCGGGTTTGTCTCCTCTCTTTGGGCCTCCACGGTCCTCTGGAAGCCTCTGGGGACATCCCAGGACGTCCAGATGTCAAGATCCAGGGCGGAAGTAAAGCTCACCAGGGGGATCTCGTGAGCTAAGGTACCTGCGGAGGGGTCATGAGGGGTCCTGGAGGCCGAACAGCGGGGCAAGAATATCGGCATCACGAGGCCAGCACCGTGAGGCATCACCAGCTAAGCAGAGGTCCAGAGTCTTCCTTCCTCTCTGCCCACCCTGCTCCTCTGCCTCCCCCCTCCTTCCCATCTCTTACTCCTCCTCCTCATCCTCCTCCTCCTCTTTTCGGTAGCCATTTTGGCTCAAGCCGATCTGGCTCAGGCGTTCTGCCCGCGTTTGCAACAGCATATCTTCAGAACTGCACACTGCTGTTGCGGGCCAGTTTCGGGTTTTCAGCTTCAGCCCTCTATCTTTCGGAGCAGCTGCTACCACCACGCCCTCGCAGCGGGACCCACGGCAAGCGTCGACAGCGCTGCAAGCAAAGGCGGAGGCAGGGTCTCCTGGCGCTCGTGGCGTGCCAGCTGGACCTCACCGCCTGCACAAGCGAGGGAATAGTATGGCGTCATGGCGTGAGACGTGGCCCAGCCTGGTCCCTGGTCTGCAATATTCTCGTGCTGACGACGGCTACGCTCAGTCAGACCGCGATGAATGGACCTGCTCAACGCGCGGCTGCCGCCGCAACATCCCCAAGTACTACTTCTGCAAACACTGCGGGGCCACAAGGAATCAATCATGTTCGGCTCCGCCGCGATCTTCGTGGGCAAGCAGGTCGGATGCGTCACTGTTCAAGCGACAACGAGAAGAAGCAATGTGCACCCCGGGCTCTCAAGGTGTTCCTCTTCCTCGTCAGTGGTCTCTGTCAGGTTTGTTAGCCAAGGAGCTGGAGTCGTACATTGACATGCTCGAGAAGGTTGGCAAAATTACGGACGCAGGGAGATGCCGATCCCAGCTGGTCCAACTTCGTCCTGTCACGGTTCCTGTGGCGCTGGAAAAACGATTGGCTCGTTGCCAGAGAGATTGGGTCAATCATGGTCATCGTGTGTAGACGGAGAGTAAGCGCGTTGCCACCCTCGAGGGCCAGCTCGCGGCGAAGAAGCAGTGTGTGAACAACATGGCCCAGGATCTGCTGCAGCTGAACAAATGCTAGGAGGAGCAAGCTAAGAAGGTGGCCAGTTCTCCAGTGCAACTACCGACGGCCAAGTCCGACGATACCGCGCCAACAGTCAGTCTGGAGTCTCTATTGGAAGAAAAGACGCGTGCAGCATCGATGTCGGCCTGTTTCTCTGCAAGACATGAGGAATCGCCAAAAGATCGGTCGAAGATTGATCAGCGTCATGACGCAATGTAGGCACATTTTCAAGGTATGGCTAAGGAGATATTCCGTAAGGCTGCGGGCACGGCACGCTAGGCCAAGGCCGCACAGGCAGCCCAAGCTGAGCGGCTTGCTCAGAAGCGTCGCAGGACCGAGGCTGGTGCTGCGCTTGGTGGGTAAGCTGATGGTGTTGTTGGCGGTGTTTCTGAAGTCTCCTCAGCCGACGGAGCCGCTGCCGCCGCTGGCACCAATCATGCATCAGAGCCGCCAGCAGCCGAGCAAGAGCCCACGGCCTCTGCCGCAGCCTCAGACGAGCTGCTGGCGCGAGTTCGTGCGGACGCTGCCCGACTGGCGCCTCAACAGGCGCCCCCGACCCGAAGCCTAGTGACGAGTTGGGACGATCATTTGTTTTCGGTGGTGGAAGGGGGGGGGCGCATCTGCATTATGTTCCAGAGCCTCGAAAGCTAACCTTATCTTGACCCCCCGCCCCGGCTGGATGGGGGCAGTCGGTATGATGTCGAGGGATTCTGCTTTCGGAAGTGTTTCGTAAAGAAGTGGGTGGATGGGGCCGCTGACACGTGGTGGCGGTTTGCCGACACGCGGTGGCATTCACGGCCCACGCCCTCTCCCCGAGCGTTGGGTCCTAAGTTGCAGTGCTACCTCTAACCTCGGAGTCCAGCCATTCTTGTAAGTCCCCCCAGGCACGAGGGGGCGGGCCCGCCCTCAGGGCGAGTGCGTGCAGGTATCCTATGATGTTGAGGGGGTTCTGCAGTCGAAGGGGTTGCGTGAGGAGGAGTGGAGGGGCCGCTGAAACGTGGTGGCGGCTTGCTGACACGTGGTGGCTTGCACGGCCCAAGCCCTCTCCCCAAGCGTTGAGTCTTAAGTTGCAGTACGACCTCTCCCATCGGAGTCCAGCCATCCTTGCAAGTCCCCACAGACTGGAGGGGGGCTGCCCTTAGGGCGAATGCGTCCAGGTTGAGTGTGAGCAGTTGCAAGCCGATACCAGAGCGGCCTCGACTGCTCTGAAGCATGCTTCCAATCGTCATGATATTCGATGTGCACGAACAACTCTGTTGTCATGCTCAGAGCTTCCGCGCAGCCCCTTCTGCCTGGGGAGGGGCAGACACTTTCTTCACATACTGTTAGAGTTTCCACTCCCACGAGCCATCCTTGGCCCCTTGCCGCCGCACCCCAGCTTGGAGGCTCTCGTGCTGCACGTGCAGACTGTCAACGGCAACGCTTGGAGCGCCACCAAGGATTGGCTAGAGACCTGTGAGGCTCAAGTTGTGCTTGTACAGGAGAAGAAGCGCACTGGATAGGGCTGCGGATTGGTACGTTATGCATGGTTGGCGGTCTGGGTGGTCTATGGCGTGTTTAGGCCCAGGAGGTGGCCCTTCCTCTGCGGTGGCCATTCCGGCCCGCAGCTGGAGGGGGCTTCACCTTCCACCCGATGAGTTGGCCATGTCGGGCCCTCGCTACCTCACCGCGGTGGTGCATCCGCCTGCTGGAGAGTAGAAACTAGCTGGCACCGTTTACCTTCATGATTGCAAAGGGCTGCCTGAGGAGAATTTTGACCTACTCAGTGCGCTGGGATCGAAACTGGCTGCGTCGGACATACCTTTCTTTCTGGGTGGGGATGTCAACATGGAACCGTCAGAATTGAGGAAGTCCGAGTTTCCCCATCACTTGAAGGCGCAGGTGATCTCCACCAGCGAGGCGACGTGTTACCCAGCCCGTTCGGCGCCCTCGAAGATACACGTTTTCGTGCTGTCTGTCTAGGGCCGTGAGCCCAATTACGCTGCAGTAGGGATCAACCTTCTGCCCCCGTAGGCCTGTCGATCTTAAACTTCATGCTAGGTTGGCCCAACTCCGTTCGCTTTCTTTTCGGAAGCATCCGCGGATCTGCGTCGATCCCCCGATTGGCCCTGCTCGCTGTCCGCCGGAGTATGGCAAAGATAAGGAGCAGGTCGATCGTGGGTCCCAGAGGGCTCGAGCTGCGCAGTGGAACATGGTGGATTCTCTTGTTTCCCAAGCTGTTAAGACTGGGGGCGATAAGGCCGAGGGGGAGTTGTGTGAAGTAATGGAGGTCTCTCTCGTTGATGTCTGGGCCCGTGGGAAGGTTGCTCAGACGTGGTGGCGGCCCGTACTGGGCCAAGACAAGAGGGCTCCCAAGTACCTTGTTTGCATGCAGCTCGTTGGTTCCATTCTGAAGTGTGTGTGTGTGTGTGTGTGCTCTTGTCGGTGCTGAAGAGGCCAGTATGGACCGCACCTTGCACAGTGCCAAGCTTCGAGATTACTCCTCATTCCCCAAATCGTGCTTGCACGTAAGGGTTCTTGCTGCTGTTCTGAAGAAATGGGCCGCGTATTCAATCTGGTGGCTATGCGGCCGCCGTCGCCGCCCCGTCAACGCCCGTCGTCTGGGCCGCGTCTTCGGCCTGGCAGCTATATGGCCTCCGTCACCCCCCCGTCACCGCTTCGTCGCCGCCCAATTTGTTGGTCTGACGGCTATGTTGCCGCCGTCGCCGCCACATAGATTCTCCTTTCTAAAACAAAATTCGGATACACCCGCCTCCCTCCCCTGGACTTAACTCCCCACCTTCGCGTATTGCAGTTTACATAAGATCCTGCCCCATCGTCCATCCGAAATATGAATTCGTAGCATCCCAACCAAACCGATAATCCCCCCCATCCGCTGCTACAGATACTGTGCGCGCGCACTCTTGTTCAATAATCACTTGCAAAAGCGGGACGAAGTGCACACGCGCGCGCCGTCGCGCGCATGTCGAAATGTTTCAAAAACCTTAGGTTTCGTAGGGATTTCCAAAACGAGTGGCCTGAAGCATAAACAAACACATGGTTTCGGACTCATAATTCGCAAACAACGAAAAATTGCGTTCGCGATCGTGCAGTCTTAAGAAGACCACGGTTTTTCAACATGTTCATCAAATGCTACCAAGCGTGCCTTTCGCGCGCGTAAATCGAAATCGCTCGCGCCCTTGCGCGCGTGCTGTCGCAAGAATCCCTTGGAACTAATGTGACGAAATGTACACGCGCGCGTCGTCGCGCGCGCATGCGGGAATCCTTGGAAAACTCTAGGTTTCGTGAGGATGCCAAGATCGAGTGTCCGAAAAACATATAAAACATATTTGGCTTTGCAGCATCAGTCCTCAAAACATGCCTGCGCTCGCGCTCCTGCGAACTCTTGAGGGAACCATGAAGTTCCCCACCGTTTTCGTTACATTCGGCCAAGCGGGCCTCTCGCGCCGCATGCCGAAATTATCCGAACGCCCGTGCTAAAATGGGGGGGCACGATCCGTGCCAAATAATACCACGCGAGCCACTCTCGCGCGTCGCCCGCGCGCGCGTGTCGAGGTACTTCCGAAAACTTCATCGCCGACGCGAGGACGCCGTCACCGTTGTCGGCGCGATCAGCAACTGGCCGCCAGTGGCCATGCCGTCTTCGTTGACAGCGTCGTCACCATCATCGCTACTACCATCAACGTATCTA